GCCGGCCCGACATGGCCCAGGAAACCGGGCCCGGGTCGGGCAGGTTTTTTCCCTTCTTTTTATTTTTTTTTAAATTTTAAAAAAAATAAATTATAAAATATACATAAAAATTACTGAAAATGACATAAATTTTTTTAATAACTTGAAATGACATAAATTATAAGTACAAAAAATTATAAAAATAAAAGATGATAAAAATAACTTTTTTATTAATAATCAGTAAATCCTTTATAATTTTAAATTTATTTCGAAATTCGTCGCATCTAAATAGATGAGTAAATCCCAACTAGGTTGGCACCTACTCACCCATATCACTATCATTTGTAACTTTTTTCAAAATAATTCATTACAAATTTAAAGCTAAGAAATAAAAATTACAATTTGATGAATATTATCTAATCTTTATATCTATCTGCTAGTCCCAACTCTTCAAATTTATCTTCAATTATAGCAATCCGATCGATGCCTTGTGTTCGCTTCTCGTACCTCCACCAATCTTGTAAGCACATCACCGCTTGTACAGTATACGGATCTAAGTATGTCTTGTGGTTGTCGATCAAACGTCCTGCTGTGCTGAAGGTGGATTCCGAAGCTACCGTCAAAACCTGCACTGATAGTAAGTCACGAACCATGGTAGAAAGTATAGGATATGAAACTGATCCATATACTCTCTACCATTACAAAATATCTAAAGCATTTCCTTGACATTTAACTAAGGAAGTAGAAAAATATTCATCTAATTCAGAAACCTCTAATCCTGAACCAATTCCAGATGCACCAGTTAGTTCAGCTACTATTGCATACCTATCAAAACTTACACTTTTACCTCGACCTGTGCTCGAAGCCGAAGACGCTGAAGCTGTAGACTGTTGTGCAGCTACACCATGTCTAGCTGCATACTCATCATATAATGTTTGAAAATAATTTCTAATAGATAAATAATGAGAAGTAGCAGTAAGGGTGGAACCATCATCTAAGTCTATAATTTGTCCACCATACAATGACTGTAACAAACTTCGAAGACCAATATCTTTCAAACATGAATCAATAAGAACCCCAAACCAAAAATATGAGAAATAGGCCTAAAATACTTATTAAATTTTCTCTCCATTTGAAAAATTATATTTCCAAAAATATCATCCATACGATATTTGGCAAAAAATTTTGAATATTTAAAATTTGTAAAGCAGCTAAAGTAATAGTTGGATAATAACAACCAGATAATATCATAGTACCATCATAAAAAACTTATAACATCTTATTTAATTTACATATAATTGTCTATTCATCTTCACTTATTCCATAAGTGCTACCAGAGCTAGAACTAGAAGCATAAAAATTTATAAAATTATTTATAATTTTTTTATATTCTATTGCTACACTTAACATTGCATATGTGGAATTCCACCTATGGTTAACATCTTTTGGAATTAGTCTATGCTTATAATTTTTTCTTTTACAACATTGTTTTCATCTTTTAATTCTCATTTCAGAAGCATTATGCATATTAGCAACTGTTCTAACATTTTCTATCATGGGTTTTATTTCAGAAAATGCACTTTGAATAATTTAATTTAAAATATGGCAGATATATCTAATATGAAAAATGTCACCATAACATGGCAATGACAGAGTTGTTTTAATAAAATCAACAGCTACATTGTTATTACTTGCATTATCTAGTGAAAGAAAAAATTTTCTTCAATTATTAAATTTGCAATATTAATACCAGTGTGTGACTCTTCAATTGCAATAAAAAAATAACTCTTTTAAACATTTGCTAATTTTTATCAATCCAGTGTGCTGTGATACATAAATAACCAGTTTGTACTCTAGATGTCCAAATATCAGAAGTTAAAAAAAAATTACAGTTTAAATTTTTAAAATAAGAAATTATTTTTCCTTGTTCCTCCTGATAATATTTTAAATTATCACGTTGACAGGTTTGACGAGAAAATTTTGTAAATGCAGGATAAAAACCATCTCTAAACAAATCTTCAAATTCATCATCTTCTACTAATTTAAAAGGTAGGTTTTTAAGAACAATAATCTGATTACGCATTTCCTAGCTCGGGCAGCGTCATAATTCCAACTACCGAGGGTACCAGAAGAGGAGGATTGGGAAATCTCATAGACTGTCGGATATCACCTTGAAGATTCTGGCCTTTGTTGTGTTTTTCTATATGGCGTTTGAGATGGTTGGTGCCGCTCTTATGATGAGCTTGGAAAACCTGGCCGCACAACGTACATTTTGCCTTCTGGGAGATGATCCTACCATGTTCGACATTGGTGACGTCTATCTTCTCAAAAAAATTCCACACATCGGATCTCGGCCTTTTAGGAGCTCTTGGTGTAGTAGATTCGTCGCCACCAGATTCAGGATTAACACCGGTAGAAGGAGTAGTAGTTGTTGTAGGAGGACTCATTTCTGGATCGGTAGGAGATAGGTGTTGCTCTTCATAATCAGATCCAGAAGCCATTTGATAGAAGTATTAGAAAATATAAGAGATTATAAGAGAGTATAATATTGTATAATAAAGTATTAAAGAGAAGTAGAAGAGTTTTGGTGTGAGGAGAAGAAGTAAAAACCACCCTCTATTTATAGAGGCAGCCCCCTAGACAAATGACAAAAAAACTCTTATATTCTAGTCGTTTTTGACCGTTTTAAGGGGCAAATCGGTCAAATGGCCAAATATGACCGTTTGGTCGGCCCGGCCCGGCCCGGCCATATCCGGCCAACGGTCACAAATTATGACCGTTGGCGCCGGGCCGGGCCAGCTCGGCCCGGCCCGGTCATTTTTCGCTAACGGTCACAAATTGTGACCGTTGGCGCCGGGCCAGCCCGGCCCAGCTGTGTGTGTGTGGTGGGGTGGGGTGGGGTGGGGGTAGGGGTAGGGGTAGGGGGGGGGGGGGATAACCAAAACATCAATTATGAGACCGGGTATAAAGTATGTTTTTAACCACAGTCTGCGGAGAACCAAGAATGGACTGTTCTCATAAACTTTAAGCCAACTAGATCCGTACGAAGAAGTACAACCATTTATTTTACTGCTAATTAATTAGAGTTTCATGTTATCGTCAGTGTATTATATATTCAAATAGAGAAATTACATGAGCGAAGGAAGGAAGAAGCTAGCAAGCCAACAGAGAGTTGATTTGTCTCAATGTTATCGTCAGTGTATTATATATCCAAATAGAGAAATTAAATGAGCGAAGGAAGGAAGAAGCTAGCAAGCCAACAGAGAGTTGATTTGTCTCAATACTCATTATCACATTCAGTATATATAAATCAATAGCCTCTCTGTGGCCATTATGTATCTGAGTTTGATTACAACAGTCCTAATTGCTTGAGGCTCTTTTACTTTATTGCTGGTTTATGCCTCCTCCACTTACAAATATGGAGTGTTAAAATATTCCTGCTAAAATATAGCTTATCATTGATTTAGCAGAAACCAATCTCTTTCTCAGAATCTAAGATGGCCTTGGGAGTTTCAGAAGAGGTGTTGTATATCTTCGTTCCAACGATCGTATATTGGGCGTATTCGGCTATGTATGCGATGCTAGGCGACATGGAGAAATACAGGCTGCATCCAAAAGGAGATGAAAATAAGAACGTAGTGTCAAAGACCACGGTCGTTAAGGGTGTTCTCATGCAGCAAGCGTTGCAGATTACTGCATCCCTCCTCTTGATCTTGGTATATATCATGCTTAGTCTCATGTCACAAGTCCTAGTATTAACCTTGCTAGGTATTGAAATATAATTTCACCCAGCTACTAGTAGAAAAAACATACTAAACCCTTGAGCAACATTCGAACATTGTAGTATCCATTAAAGACCCACTTTAAATTTGTTGTTGGTGAGAACTAGTTACTTGAGTTGCTCTGATATCATGCACCAAAAGTCTCTATCACCTTCGAAGTTATAATGAGGGTTGGTGATTAGTTTTATATTCTAAAACTATATATTCATAATATTCACTTTTTCCATAATTTGGTAAGTTAGCTTCAAACAATACATATAGTTAGTTAGAGTATAAAATTATAATCCTCAAATCTCAAAATGGTTACTTTAACATGATATTAGAGTAACTAGCCTACTTCAATATCCTAATTATTGGGTTCAAAATCTCTATACATGTCCTTGATTGAAAAGAAATCCTGTAAATTTTGTTTGCAAACAAACACCCTCCAGGGAGATCTCCACATTGAAAAGAAAGAATATTATTGTAACCCTCAATCTACACCCCATTTTGATGTTTATGTACAACGTGTTGGGATTGTGTCTTTGATTCTTTGTATAATTTTATGAGAATTAGATATGATTAGAGATCTATCATGATTGGGAGATTGAGTCTCATCATGATTAGGAGTTTGAATCCAATTCTAATTAGAAAGTTAGGCTAGAGATAGGGTTTTGGTTTCCCTATATATATTCTTCTATTGTTGGAGGAAAAACCAAGGAGAGAAGAGAGAACCAATATTCTTATAATCTAGTATTAGTAGAGGGCGTAGACTGATTCAAGAATATTGTGCAAAATGCGAGGGTTTCGTAGTCTTTATCCTTATAAAAGGTTACAATATTTGGAGATGGCTTCGCAGTATTTGTCCGTTTAAAAGATTGTAAGGAGTGGATTTTGGAGAGAATTAATATGAGAGATGATTATGTATGTGAGCTTGAGACATTGAGATATGAGAGTTGAGTGGTTCCTTTTGTAGTTCTCCTCGATACATAGTGGATTTTTCGTATTGTTGCTCCGTGGACATAGGTCGAAGTTGGTCAACCGAACCACGTAAATGTCGGTGCTATTTCTTCTTGATTAAGGTTATTTTATATTTTATTGATCGTGAGTTGACTTCCGAGTCGTGGAGATCATAGTACGCGGTGAGTCTAAAATCCCCAACACAGCCGAATAAACTTTAATTAATGAACACAAAATAACCAATACATAAAAAATCTGATAAGCGAATTTAAATCAAAGCCTTGATCATGCATTAATTAACTGAATGTTCTCTCTTCCATTTTTTCCATAATTGCAGTTCATCGGCGACGCTTCCGGCAACATCCGACCCCAACCTTCTCTCTTCAGGATGTCATGCCAGTTCCTTATCGCAGCAGTAACACTCGACACTCAGCAGTACTTCATGCACCGATTCATGCACTGCAACAAATTCCTGAGCAGGTTCCACTCCGCTCACCACAACCTCATCGTCCCCTACGCCTATGGCGCCGTCTACGGGCATCCCCTCGAGAGTCTCCTCCTCGAGATCTCTGGCGGTGCCCTCGCCATCTTGGTCTCCGGCATGGCTCCTCGGACCGCCATGTACTTCGCTTCTTTCGCTACGATCAAGGCTGTGGACGACCACTGTGGGCTGATGATCCCCGGGAACCTCCTGCAGAGGTTGTTTAGGAATAATTGTGCTTATCATGACGTTCATCATCAGCTGTACGGAAACAAGTACAATTTCTCGCAGCCTTTCTTTGTGGCTTGGGACAAGATTATGGGGACTTACATGCCCTTTACTGTTGAGAAGAGGGAGGGAGGGGGATTTGAGGTCACGCCCTTTGTGAAGCAGGCTTAATTACAGTGTATTTTATCACGTGTATGTTGTGATTAATTACATGTATCTAGAGAACATAATGTTTTACTTTGTTATTGTAAATTGCCATAACTTGTGACGGACCGAGTTTGGCTCAGAAATAAAACGGTTTGATTTGTCTAATAATTTTTCTGGAAAAAATTTCCTCCACTCTCTTTGAGTTAACTTCTAGAAATTTCCCGGCCTTCGAAATTCGTTGAGGTTGAAAAACACTGTTGACTATAGATTTTTGAAGTTTTTTAAAGTTATTTTTTGAAAAAGGATAGAGCACTAATATTGACTAGAACTCTAGCCTTTTACTGTAGATTTTTGAAATTGACAACATGTGAAAAGATAGCGGGAAGAAAGTTTTCCTTTTATTTGTCGTTTGTTGACGTTGAGAAGCAAAAGAGCATTTGGCTAAGGGGCTGTTTGGGTGTTGAGGAGGCGTTGGGTATTTCTGACATCTTGTCAGTTTTCCGTTCAAATCGCACCAAAATTTAGCGAATTGTACGTGGGGAAAACTGCAAATGTCAGTGACTGGCGAATGGAGACAGCACGGGAAAAACCCAGGACGTTCTGACACTTCCTTACAGCTTTCGACTCTTTTCCCCCTCAAAATACTTGAACCAAGCAGCCCCTAAGTAACAATTTGTTTGTGGTCTTGATAAACTTAAGCTCTAAAACTAGTTGATTCAATGACACTTGTTGCGTAGAAAAGAGAGGTTTTGTACTGCTTCACCTGAGAGGCCGCCGTATCTATTTTATATAGTATATAGTTTTGATGATTCTGATAGTAGCAACAGTGCTATTTTAATTTATTCTCTGACTTCATATGCACGCATAACTGTCATTGTCTAATCCTATGTAAGAAAGTTTTTGCACAGTAGTTCAGAGGCAATAAATGATATATAATAATACTAGTCTTGTACCGGCGCGCGAGGCTGCCAGAAATTTTCTTTAGTACATTTTTTATCAAAATTGATAAACCTGATTTTAAATACAACTATTTATTAAAAAAAAGTTACAACAATTCTTTTTTGTGATATATATTCCTTTTATTAAGAATGATTTCAACTTGATTACGCTTTAATTTTACATAAATTATGAACAAATAAGAAAAAAGAACAAAAATGTTTTTATATCCACATAAGTCCTATAATCTGAAGTAATAAAAAATTACACTATATTGATTCATAATAAATCCTAGTTGATTATAGCGAATCACATCTATGAATGATACTACCATGCAACTGCTTGAAAGCCATATAAAAAATACACAAATTCATCACGTGTATGGTAATTATCTACGTTTTTTTTTCTTTTTCTTTGAATAGTTTATCAATAAGAAAAAATATATCATTTTCATGCTAGCTTGGAAAGTAGGAAAAGAAAAAGCTTTATAGCATGATAGCTTGAGAGAGTAATCACAATACAAAGAGAGAGAATAATGAAGAGGATATGATGTAGGTCATTAATGGCTAATAACAACCTTTTAGGCTTTTTCATCCTCTAAATTTTAGATGTACAAATAATCACACACTTTAGATATATCTAAAAAAATTAACAACAAATATTTCACTCAATTCACAACATGGCAAAAAGAACAAAAACAAAATAAAAGTTTACATGTAAAATACTAAGATCTATGTCAAAAAGGTTAATTATACCTACCATTGGTTTGAACTCTAAAGCAGGCCATTCTCTATGTCCTCTGGTCTATGGAATCTACAATACTAAAGTTGAAACAATCTTTCGGCAGATGAACTTGTAAAATTTAAGTTAATCAAATTAAATATATAATTGGCTAGCATAAATTTAAGACAATGAGTCAAGCTGACTACATGTAGAGGGTCTCAACTATATGTAGAGGTTCTGTTTGGCAAAACTAGCTGAAAGCTGCGAGATTATAGCTGAAAGCTGTGAAATTATAGTTGAAAGCTGATAGTTGCGTAGCTAGCTGATTGAAGTAGAGCTGTTAGGCAAAAGTAGTTGTACAACTAGCTTAAATTTGTTAAATGTCTAAAAAGGACATGCAATATTATTGATATAAAATTAGAATTATTCAACACTCATTTATTTATTTATTTACCTACTTTTATATATATATATATATATATATATATATATATATATATATATAATATATATAATATATATATAATATATATATATATATAATGGAGGTGAGCTGCCAGCTCACCTCGCCCGTGAGCTGCCCAAGTGTATGACATGTGAGCCCCTACTAGCTCACATTCCGGGTGGGGTCAGCATGTCATGTACACCTTGCCCAGCTCAGGGGGCAGGTGGAGCTTGCCAGCTCACCTCCCATTATTATAATATTAATATATATATATATAATATATATATTATTATATATTATATATACTATATATATAATATATATATATATATATATTATATATATATATAAAAGTTAGCGTAAATAAATAAAATAAATGAGTGTTGAAATAATTCTAATTTATCATCGAATAATATTGCATGTCCTTTTAGACATTTATAACAAATTTAAGCTAGTTGACAACTACTTTTGGCCTAACAGCTCTACTTCAATAGCTAGCCTACGCGCAACTATCAGCTTCTCAACTATATATTTCACAGCTTTCAGCTATCAATCTCGCAAGCTTTCAGCTAGCTTTTGACCAAACAGAACCCTCTTACATATAGTTGCAGACCCTCTACATGTAGTCATCAGCTTGACACATTGTCTTAAATTTATATATTTTCTTATATGCTGTGCTGTGTGGGGGGCGGGGGGGGAGTGCTCCTAAGCGTGACGCCTTAGATAATCATCTAAGAATGTGACCTACAATCACATGATTGAGATACATATGTGGATGCATCCGTTCCGTTAAACTTGATCTACATGTTCTAAAACTCTAACACACAAAGTTTGCGGTGAACCGCTGTCGTTTGACCCTTCATCCACTCGTATCAATTTTAACGGGTTTCGAGATGAATAGAACTTTTCACATGGCTCGACGCGAGATCAAACAATGATGGGTTCACCCCCAACTTGGTATGTTGGAGGTTTTAGAATATGTAGATCAAGTTCAACGGAACAAGATCATCCATAATGTAGCTCAATCATGTGATTTTAGGCCGCGTCCTTAGATGATTATTTAATACGTCACATTAGGAAACACTTTTTCATAAATATATATATATATATATATATATATATATATATATATATTATATATATACTATATATATATATATATATATATATATATAATAATATATATATACTATATATATATATACATATATATATATATATACATATACATATATACATATATATATATTTATATATATATATATCATACATATAAATATATATATATATATATATATATATATACTATATATATATATAAATATATAATATATATATATATATATATATAATATATATATACTTGTTTTTATCTATACATCTCCAAAAACAAGGATCTCTCGTCTATACATCACCAAAAACAACTAATGTAAAAACAATTTATCACATTGAATCCCATAATAAGTGAGCAATGTTATCACAAACTTCCCTCATTTCAGAAGTCGACCCTCTTGAAGAATTACTATTCTCATCAGGATCCTTGAGTTTATCTTGAGTTTCATCTTCGGGTACATAATTTGGATGATGTTCTAACACTGTAAACAACGGATCATCGACTGAGTTAATGCGAATATAATTATGCAATGCAAATGCGGCCATAATAATATCAAATTGAGTCTTCACACTATATTGGGGCATTTGGTGAAGAATCTTCCATCTTTTCTTCAAGACTCCAAATGATCTCTCAATATAACTACGGAGAGATGAATGCGCACGATTAAAAGTTTCTTTAGCATTGGTTGGCGCCTCTCTTTGAAACTACGATTGATGGTACCTTATTTTGGGATATTGTACTAACTATCCTAATCTATCCGGATATCCCTTATCAACCAAATAATATCGACCTATATTAAAATTTAAGAAAAATGAGATTAAATGAAGGAAATATTATGACTATAATATATCGGAGTAAATAAATTAAACCAAAAAACAAAAACAAACCTTATCGAGGATGAGGAAAATTCATTGCCGACGTGTTAATCGCATAAAGAAAAACATGTGTATCATGTGCTGATCCTTCCCACCCAACAGATAAAATGTAAAACACATATCAAAGTCACACACTGCCATGATGTTAAAAGTGGGAATGTCTTTTCTCCCTCTATAACGTAATTGATCAGCCTCGGGAATACATGCTGCCATATGAGTGCCATCAATGCATCCAATACAATCCTATATTTAAACTTCATCATTATAAAAATGGTATGCATCAAAATTTACAAAATAAGTATCAATTACAATAATGTTTACCTTAAAATAAGGTATGTATCTTGTATCATTGGCGATTTGAGGTTGTATAAATTGAAAGTTTCGATCCTTTGGTTGTATAACATCTCGTGCAAGATCCATACACTACTAGAAAATAGAGTTTTGCCTACGGAACTATAGCGACGAAAATTTTGGTCGCTATAACATAACATATAGCGACGGAAATTTCCATCGCTATAGTTCCGTAGGCAAATAATTTTTGACATGTGGATATACAAGAGAGACCCAACATTATAATAAGATATATAATCTTTATTTCTACCACAAATCGCTTCTAAAACTTGGGTAATGGTTCTACTAATAGTCTCACCAGAACGTTGCACAAATCGCTTCTAAAACTTGGGTAATGGTTCTACTAATAGTCTCACCAGAACGTTGAAATCGCTCACCAACATCTCTATTAGAGAGACCCATGGTTCTACTAATAGTCTCACCAGAACGTTGAAATCGCTCACCAACATCTCTATTAGAGAGACCCAACGTAATAGTATAAACAAGTATACTCACTTTTTCAACCACAGTTCCAACTAGGTGTTAATTCATATTTGGATTGTAACTCTTCACATAGTTGCAAAAATACTCTTGATTCCAT